CACTGTATCTCAAGCTGAAAGAACTGAAGACAAAGATCCACCCTGGAGTCGATCCCTCGATGACCTCTGTGGGCATCACATGAAGATGGGAGGGGTGTTTGGAGCCGTGGTGTCAAACCGCGTTGGTTGGTGTCTGTCCAGCTATCTCAGGAGTTGGAACCAGGACCGAAGACAGATGCCCATGCTGCCCAGAGGGCTTTGGCGGGCGCGCTTACTCATCTACAGCACGGCAAGAGTCGGAAGCGTGCTGCCCATGTCGCCGACCGGAAGAGATGCCGACTATGCCCATTCCAAGAAAGGTGACCAACGGAAGGTGGGAATTGCGGAACCACATCATTGACCTCACAGGCAAGTAAAGCTTTACTGGAGGTGACTTCACTATGGCTGCATCCACAGGGAACTGTTAGCATTGCGAACTGGATTCTGAAGGGGATGTGGGACGAGGGTGTTGTTGCTCATGTCAAATGGATCTTGGCTAAGAGCAGATAATCCCAGGAAGGTCTTTACCCATGTTTGACAGACTATGCAAAGGCATGACTGGGTGCACTGTAACAAAACTATAGATCGTGTTGAGAAGAATGGAACTCCAGAGCACGCCATTTGCTCACGGGGCACGCGCTCACTGATCAAAGACCGGTCATTCACACAGAACAAGGGGATGCAGCCTGGTTTGAAATCAGCGCCCGTGTGCGTCAGGAGTTGTATCCGTTCGTTCACCATCCTTCCTCTGTCTGTATGCTGAGCAGCTCGTTCAAGAAGTTGGACAATGTGAAGAAGAAAGCAGCGTCCAGACTGCGGCCATGCAGATGGTACAACCTTGCTTCTGACAGTGAAGAGGAGTTGAAGTCCTTACTCATGAATATCAAAGCCTGTACTCTTCAGTATGAGTTACACCTCAACACAAAGAAAACAAAACCCTCACGACGAATTAATCAGGGAGAAAATAGTACAGGGCTACACTTGACCCCCTCCAGCTGCACAAGGGAGAGGGGACCCAACTCCTCCCCAGCCCAAGGCTGACAACCACGAGACAGAGGCCAACCAGGCCTCCTCCTGCCCTCCCTCCTCTCCTTTCACCCTATTTGGTCAGACACCACCATTTTTCTACCGAGTGCTACAGTTTGTCACAATGGCCACACAGAACCAACAGACCATGACGCTCACAGGTAAGGGGGTTTACTAAAGGGATGAACAGGTGCCACAAGTCAGGAGCAGTAAGTGGCACGTAGAGTCACAGGTCCACAGTGGCACCTCTCCTCGGTCAGCAGCCACGTCTCTCTCTCTGGTCTTCAGCCTCTCAGCCACATAAATGGTCCCTTGGCGGCCTCTTCTGTGGGCTAGGAAACCACAGTCTCGTGGTCTCCTTGCCTGGACCTCTGCTGTCTCCCCCACTTCAAGCACGGAGGGATGGCACACTTGCTGTGCTAGCGGTTGGTCCTCCCCGACAGTCCTGGGGTTCTCCCATTCCTGCTTCCGAGATGGCCTGTTCAGAGCTGCTTTGATGGAGGTGAGCTTTTTGTCTTTCCCCTGGGAAACAAAGGGTGGGGACTTGATTCAGCACCCTCGAGTCAGGTCGAGACTCTGAACACATCACCCTAATCCTGCCCGAGGGTTCCCTCCAAACTGGAAGCACAACCAGAGCGGCTAGAATCCACACGACTCCCAAAGGGGCGCTGGCTAGATGCTTCATCCACTGTCTCTGGAGGCAACATCATGATCAACAGAAACAGATCGAAGTTGTCAAGGGTTTCATTTGACTTGGTCTGCGCTCAGTGCTCTTGAGAGCAACAGTCCAGAAATCAAACGGGGCCGTGTACTGGGCACATCTGTTGCAAAAGACCCATTGAAAGAGTCAAGACCACAGACATCACGTGGAGGCTCCCGCGCACCCGACTCAAGCCAGGGTATTTTCAGGCGCCTCTGCATGCGGAAGTCGGCTGAGAGTCGAGGACTGGAGAGGGCCCGACGCACCATGGGTACAGCGTGGACCCCAGAGAACGCGTCATCCCATCTGTGTGGGAGATGAAAAGACATCAAGCTCTTTCCAAGTGAGGGTCGTGAAACTTCCTTCCAAGTGTTTGGGACATGCTGGTCCCGGACAAGGCCATGCTTCTCGGGGAAGTGGACAAGAGGCCTCACACACTGGCTGCAACAGTGGTCGGAAGCGTGCCGACAGCTGTGAGGACGCTCCCTCGGCCGGACACGGGCAGGCCGACTCCGTGCCCTTCGCAGTAACATCCCTGAACTAACTTGCATCATCCATTTGTTCATCTGTCCACTTTCTCTCTCATGTCAGTTTCACCTGTCCATACGGAGGGTGAATCACCATGTCAATCACTCCTTAGTCCAATCAGGAGCTAACACGCTTGGGGCCCATTTTTGTATGCCTCGTTCAAACTCCTGGACTCGCGGGCACCCCCTGTGCCACGGAAACGGATGACCAGTAACAAGAGAATGGACAAAGCAGGGCAGGGGGAGGGGCTGAGGATACTGGGCTGGGCTGGGCAGGGGTCAAGGACTACAGAGGGGAGGCAGGTAAGGGCAATGAAGGAGATTCTAAATAGAGGGCAGGGAGGGAGGGGGAGCCCATAGGGGATGCCCACGCCAGCACTCAGGCACTGGGCACCACTTGGCTACATCAGCTTCTCTGCCCCTCCATCTCTACTTTGTTCCCTGCCCACGCAGAGTCCTCCCCTCTCTGCCCACACTCAGGCCCCTTGGGGGGCTAGTGCAACCCTGGAGGCTGGTGGCGATTTTGCTAATGTACCCCCAAGCCCCATCAACTGGGCTTCTCCGATCTACCACCCACTTCTCCCTCCACCGCCCATTCATGGCTTGGCACTTGTGTTTTGTTTGAATAGCAGTCAATGGACACAGGTCCAGAGTCTCCTCCAGTCATTGATGTGAGCCTCCACCTAATACAGCCGCCCTCCTGCCACCCGCCCCCTGGGCTTCACTCCGTTTTCGTCCTCCCTCCCCACTCCAGCCCATCCGGGCCGCCACTCACCCACTCCACTTGCTCCCTGGGGCTCATAGTGTGTAGGTCCTAGACCAGTGGTTCTCAACCTTCCTCATACCACGACCCTTTAGTACAGTTCCTCATGTTGTGGTGACCCCCAACTATCGGAAATATGTGTTTTACGAGGGTCTTAGGCGACCCTTGTGAAAGGGTCATTTGAACCACTGTTCTAAATGGGAGGGCCCTGTGCTTTCCTGCCTCTCAAGAAGCGAGGGGGAGTTATGATGGAGCATCCCGTGGGTCCCTTGGACAGGAATCTACTTGCTTAAAGGCTGCACGTGTCTGGGTTGGCCCAGGGAGGGCAGGGCTAGCCTGTGCTGCAGCCCCAGAAGGTTCCCACTGCCCAGCAGGGAAGGGCCCCCTTCACAGTGCCTTCGGGGCTCACACAGGTGCAACTGGGGCAGCAGACTGAAGCGGGGAGCGAGGCCTCCAGGGTGGTGGGCGCTGGCCTGAACTCTCTGCCCTGGACGCTGAGCCCGGCCCATCGCCGCCCACAGGTTGCTTCCCTGGACGCAGTGGTCAGTGTGCTGCAGGCATGGGACCTGAGCCTCACGGAAGCCATGCTGCAGAACATGGAGGCCGAGCGGCAGCGCCGTGTGCTGGAGGCGCAGCGGCACCAGGAGGCTGAGGCCCAGCGGTGCGGAGTCTGGGGCAGGGGGCACAGCGGGACGACGGGGAAGGGCAGATCTGATCACCCCTCTTCTCTGGCCCCAGTCTCAACTCCAGGGTGCAGCAGCTGGCCAAGGAGCAGCAGCAGTGCCACAAGGAGGTGGGAGGCGAGGGCAGAGACTGGCGCAGGGGCGGGGCCAGGCACAGGGGGCGGAGCTATGGAGCAGAAGGGGGCAGGGCCAGGAAGGAACTAGCCAGCAGGGGGTGGGGCTTTGGAGGAGCCGGGCAGCAGGGGTGGGGCTTGGGTGGAGCCTAGCCGCAGAGGGTTGCGCGGGCAGGACCGAGGGCCAGCAAGGTCTGGCTGTGGTGGTCAGGTGGGAATATGAGCTTGGTCGGCGAAAGGCAGGAGGAATCAGAATCGGACAGCAGGGTGGGGGAGCTGGGGAGGAGCCTGGTAGTGGGTGGAGCCACAGGGGCGGGTCCACCAGGGGGTTGGATAGCGAGAGGCGGGGCCCGGCTGGGGGCAGGGCCACGAAGGAATGGCAGTGGAAGGCGGGGCGGGGCCAGGAGGCGGAGCTAAGAGTGCAAGTGCATAGGGTTTGAGGAAGGAGGAGTTCGGTGGCTGGCCAGTCCACTGGAGGGAGGGCTGGTGAGAACGGGGAGGCGGGCTCTTCCCGAGGGCGCAGGCGGAGTCTAGGCTGTGAAAGGTCCTGGGCCCCAACCCGCAGCTGCATCAAGCCTACTGCGAACTCAACCGAAGGATCACGGAGCACGACAAGTGTGAGCGGAAGCACATGGGCAAAACGGAGCTCACACTGCAGGTGGGCGGCACCTGGGTGTGGTGGCCAGGGGTACACTGCCTTTCTCTGGGTTTGAACTGACTTGTGCCCCCGTCTTCCTACCCCATGTGGCTCGCCTCAGCTTAGGGCGCTTTGCTCCCAAGCGGCCTGCCTGCTCCCTGCCACACACCCGGCCCCTCTCCAGATGTTTGCCCCACGTCCCCTGCAGCGGGAATGAGACGTTCTGAAGGGCTGCCCTGCACGGGAGGGGCCCGGGTGGTGAGCAGCACCTCTCCCACAAGGCCGTCAGGGACGCGGAGGCCCAAGTGGATAGACTGCGGCAGGAGGCCCAGAAGGCGGAGGAGATGCTGGCCATGGCCAGGCTGGCACTGCGGGAGCAGACCCAGGAGGGTGGGTTGGGGCTGGGGCAGGGTTAGGGGCAGTTGCTGCATGGTCGGAGGCAGGGGTGGGGGTCTGTCCCAGCGGCGGCCTCACCCTGATGTCCTCACAGATGTGGAGGAGGTTCCTGGGTTGAAATGCCAGGTAACTGAACTGCATGACGTGCTGATGAAGGATGTCGGTGACCGCATCCACAGCGACGGCCGGTCAGTGCAAGGGGGATGGGCGTGGGGTGAGCTGAACTTAGGCTCCTAGGTAACCTGGCTGTTGTCCTTAGGTGGCCCCTTGTCATCGACCCCTCGGGTCAGGCGGCCACTTTCCTGCGCTACCAGGACACTAACTATCTGGACACAATGAACCCTGAGCACCTGCGGCCGGAGAGAATGCGGCTGGCGCTCCTGGGGGCGCTCAGGTGCGGTGCGGCAGGGCAGGGTGGGGCATGCCAGGCCCCGCCCCTCACTGCCCTGCCCCATCCAGGTACGGGAAGCCACTGGTGTTCGACCTGCGCGAGGTGGACATGTTCCAGGCGGTGCAGTGGCAGCTGGAAGAGGTCCAGGCAGGCCTAGCGCAGGAACTGCTGAGCCGCAGGCTGCTGGAGGAGGAGCGGTACCTGTCGCTGCTGCGACCAGCTGACGGGCCAGAATACGAGCCCACCCAGTTCCAGGCAGAGCGCCTGGTGCACTTCCGTCTCTTCTTTGTCACCCAGGTCAGGTGGCCGCCCGCGGAGCAGATGCAGATACTGCTTCCGGTGCGCGTGCTACTGCCTGGATCGGGCCTCTAGCTCTGGCTCCATTAAAGGCCTGCCTGCCGTGAAGTGCGGGATCCCTGCGTGTTTGTGGTGGGGCACCGGGCGGGTAAGCACTGGTGTACCCGGGTCTTGGGGCGCATTCGGGACCCCAGGCAGTGCACACCCGGTAAAGGGTTAGCTTAGAAACATCTCCCCCACCCCTGCCCCGCCCAGCACCTCAACCCACTTCCTGAAAAGCCAGCCCCTGGGAAGGCCACGGAGCACATTCTCTGACCCCAGGGTGGGCTTCAAGTCAAACGGGTGACAACTGGTGTCTTGAGGTGTTGCAAGCCAAACAGCCCCTCTGAGTTGGCCACAGTGAAGTATAGGGTCAAATTGGGGTTGGGGTGAAGACAGGCTCAGTGACCCCCAAATAGCTGCAGCCCCAGGTATGACCAGCTGAGGCTTGGCTGGGGGGGGGGGTTGGGGGAGGGTGGACAAACAGGATGTAAAATGTAGTCAACTTTATTCTCCTTAAACCACAAAATAGAGTCTTTGGTTGTACAAACGTCACTAGTTACAGTCTCGCCAAAGAGGTCCTGGCTGGGGGTGAGGGGTTAGTCAGAGGCCAGTCCTGAGGGGGGTCTCTTTAAAATGCTACAGCCCAGGTTAAAAGACTTGGAGTGGGGGTGGTGTGGGGAGCTGGCAAGACCCCCACCCCAAGTCAGGGAGCCCCCATGGCAGGGGAGGTGGTGGCCCCTGGCCCCTCTAGGAAGGCACCGGGCCCAGGCCCCGGCGCCCCGGCCGCACAGGTCGGCGGCTACTGCAGAGGGTAACCTCCTCCGGCCCAGGGGCGCCCGGCGAGGGTCTGCCCAGAAGCACCAGGGCTACTTCCCCATCCTCTTCCTGCGGACCTGTGGGCGCGGCAGGGGGTGAGCTGGAACCAGAGAGACCCTCCCCCAGCAAACCCCAGCTCACCCCCGCTCTACTCACAGGGGCTTGGAGACTCTTCCAGGGGCCTCAGCTCCTCAGCAGAGTCCAGGGACTGGGTGAGGAGAGGAGAGGAGAGGGGCTGGGTGAGGCCCTGTCGAGCCTCCCCAAGCCACCCCTGACCCTGGGGCCTAGGGTCCCGGCCTGAGGCTCTGGGACCAACCCTCACGGCAGTTCGGAGGTGACAGGGAGGTCCCCCACCCAGCAAACAAAAAGCCAGCAGAGCATGGGGGGCCCACTGGCGCAGGTGTGGGTGACAGGCCAGGTCAGCGTGCGGTGGGCGCTGCGCTACCTGGATGTCATAGACAGGTCTGGAAGAGGGAAGGGCTGCGAAGACCCTGTAGTCAAACTTCTTCCCAGACAAGGGCTTGAAGGCACAGGTGCGACAGAGACAGCAGAGTGAGAGACAGAGAGAGAGAGAGAGGGGGCGCAGGCGAGCCCTACTGCACCCCACGGCGGGGGTGGGGCAGCGGGCGGGTGGGGGAGAGAGGAAGGGCTTCAGGAAGAGAATGCCTGCTGCCAAGGAGAGGGTCAGAGGAGGGGATCCCCGCCCCCCTGCTGTGAGGAAGAGGACGGGGGCGTAGGATCGGTCACCCAAGTGGCGGGAGGGCGGCCAGGGGCCTCACCAGCAGTCCTGGAGAGGTGCTGGTCAGAAGGCCAAGGTCTGGGAGACAAGAAGCAGGATTCAGGGAGGTCGCCGCAGGTTGGGCCCCCACTTCGCCTCCTCCCCGCGCCCCCTCCAGACCTTCCAAGGGGGTGGGTGAGGGCGTGGGTGCAGGCGAGGGGGTTTCTGCTAGCCGCTCCAGGGGTCCGCGCTTGCCCCGCCCCTCCTGGGACTTGCTGAGGACCATCTGCGCTCGAAGGGCGTCCTGCTCCAGAGACTTCA